CAATGAGTAAAATAATGATTATAACACTCAGCTACCTCAGGGAGGTTGTGAGTATTAATGAACTGTGAACTTTGTGCCTCTGTGCAGTGCTCTGAAGGTGTGAAGCATGGAGTGTATTTTTATTCAATTTAAACTAATTTATAAAGAGAGAGATTTATCTTTCCTGTCATCTATAGATATCCTGGTTATATTCCTGCTTTAAGATGGGAATTGCATCGGGGAAGTTTTAGGATCTATAGAAGCAAGTATCTGCCTGATATTCCCTTATGTTGTGCATGGTACAACACAGAATACAAAATTATAGTTCTCTGCTGACAGGAAGATAATGTGCATTGTATTCATTCTTGCTATGTACCCTTTCTTTCATGTACTGTGTATACACAGTATCAACTCCACCTTTGTCATTTTATAGGGACAAGATGCATATTGTTTGTAATCCAGCAAGTAGTGGAGCTATTTATGGAGGATGATGGACCTTGGCATCATGGACTGCTATTTTGTCCTGGTGCAAGGAAATAAGCCTTTTTGTATCCATCCACTTTACAAATAGTGCTTCCAAGGAGTATGCACAACAGTGTCTCATAAAACTGCTATATTGGCTAGCAATTTTTGCAGCTACCTTGCTTAGTTGAACATTAGGTTTTTGTGCAATGAAGTGTTGAAATCAAAGATCACTGTAGAGAGAATGGAATCAGCTTCAGAAGCAGAGAATGAAATCTCTGGCAATTTTATGATTATACCTTAGGTACATCAAGGGAAGCGTTTGGGGAAACTGTCCATGCATGGAGTGCTGCTTTTTAAGATACAGTAAAGCACTACTGAATGTACAGTAAGGACACAATACCTCCCATTTTTAAATCTGCAGAAGAATTTCTATTTGAACCCCTTTGCTTATACCTTCCCTGGATTGAAACTATCGGACTTGATTTCTTTCTTCTTTCACATCTCACAATATTGCTTATGTGGTACGTGGGAAGTGTGTGTGTGTGTTGAAAAATTAAGGGTTTTTTTTTGTTTTCAAAGCTGTTTTCCAAGATATGCTTAAGGATTTTCGCTACTGTTAACTATTGTAGTATAAAATGAAGAAAAAATCCCCAACTTTGTACATCAGTCTAAAGAGAAGGGGTTGGGAAATAGTTATTGTTTTGGTAAGTGAGGCCAAAACAATGGTAAACATTCAATAACGTATTCAAATTGTCTCTTCCGAACTCTTTCCTGCTAAATGTAATATGTTTCCCATGTATAGCAGGCAAAGAATTTGACCCACACAGTATTATTTCTGAGACTTCTGTTTGAAAATAAATGGAAATATTAATCTCCAAGTATATTTTTAATATGAAATCCATTCTTGAACAGTGGTATTGCAGTGCCTCTGGTTTAGGTGAGTAGAGATCACTGTTTCTGTCTTTACTGGGATAAAACTGTCCATGGCTTTTACCTAAATTAGGACTGCGGGAACTGATCTTGAACTGCATAAAGAATAATAGTTAGAACTGCCATGTTTCTTGGTTTGGGGAATTAACTTGCTTTGTAGACTACTGTTTCATTATTTTAAATTTAACTTTCTACCTCAGTGGTGTGCAAAATGAAGTTTTATTTTAATATACTGATTGCCACATGTATTAAACATTGATTTTTTTTTAAATGTATAGTTTACACTATTGTAACAGTTAACTGGGCCATTGGCCCTATGGACCATATTTGGGTTCTGTTCAAGGGTAGGTATTGCTTTGAAAGAAAAACAAACAAACCAGCATGTAAACTAGAATTGATTTAACATAAGTTTGAGTAGGTGTCACAAACAGAATTCTTTCTAGCTCCTCCCATGTTTCTGGATTCCTGTAGAGCACTTGTGAAAGAAAATGTTTCTGTTGCAAAAAAATAAGTTTGATATCAAACTCGTATGCATTTACTTTTTAAAAATATACTGTATTTGTGTTAGTACATAGTGTGCATCTCCATGTGCAATTAGCTGACACTTTGTGCCAGAGTCAGTAGCTCCTGGGCACAGTGTATACGTGTGTGTCCGGGACCACAGCAGTTTGAGTCGGGGCAGAGCAGCCCCGAGCTGGCATCAGGTTTGGGGGGGGGTCAGCCTTGGGCTCTGGGTTGTGGTGTCAGTCGGTGGAAGGGCTGGCTGGGGCCTGCAGGTGGCCCCCTGAAGCCTGCAGGTGGCCCTCGCACTATTGCATCCTGGTGCCCCAGCCAGCCCCGGTCACTGTCTACTCATGTGTTGAGCTGGGTGTAAATTACTCCACTGTAGGTAGTTCTTGTCATGGACAGTACTATCTTACAGCAGAGATAATGAATTTACTGTTTTCTAATACAGGCACACATGTAGCCGCACCCAGTAAAGCTCAGTTCTGGAAGGGGTTGAGCAGCCTGGATTCTATTCTGAAAAGCACTTATTAGCTCTGCTGAGCCTAATCAGGCTTAAAAGTTAAGCAGGTTCTTTAATGGTTGGTGAACTAGTGTTGTAGTGGTCAACCCATTGCAAGATTGATCTTCACAGTTGTTAAAATGATACTTAAAGTATTTATGTAAATATATTTGTGAGGTTACATTCTAGTAAATGCATTATAAAGCTCTGTCTTCTCAGTTAATGGCAAATTCAGCATTGCAACTGTCTTTAAAGATAAGTTTGTACAAAACTGTTTCCAAAATAGAAATTTCTATGTGGACAGTCATTATAACTGCTAATGTAAATAAAGACAACACGAGATTTTAACAATGTCAACACTAAAATATGTCATTATTGTTGTTATTTACCATCAACTGTGTGCTTAATGCAGTGCAAAGTCAAAAATTAAGATGGCCAGTGTCCTGCAGAGTTAACCATCTAGAACATAGGCCTGGGAGAAAAAAGGGCATATTGCAAAGCTCATAGAAGTATCAGTGATTTGAAAAGTGTTTGCCTTTGTTATTAGGGAATGATTCTGTTGTAGGGGATGTTGAAGGAAGGATGTAAAAGGGAACTAAATGTTGAAAATTTAAACAAGATTAGGAGGGTTGTGTAACCCTGTATTTGGCACTGGTGCAGCCGCTACAGAATGTTGTGTCAAGTTGTGATGCCAAACCTTCAAGGGAGATGTTGAAAACTTGGAGAGGCTTCAGAGAAGATTCACAAAAATCATTAACGGATTAAAAAGCATGCCTTTCAGTGAGGAATTCTGGGAGCTTGATTATATTAAATCATAAAAGAGAAAATTAAGGGATGACTTAAGAGCTCTGTGTAAGCATCTACATGGGCAACAGAAATTTGACAGTCAAGGATCGTTAGTAGACATAGTTTTAACAGGAACTAACGACTGGAAATTGAATATAGTGTGCGGGCCGGGAGCGGTCCGAGGCCCTCGGGGGCCTGTGCGCGGCGGGCTGTGGCCAGCAGCCCGGACACGCCGGGTCGGGGAATGCAGGCCGGCAGGCTAGAATTAGGCACGGACGCTTAGCGGTTGATTAAAGATTATTTTACTTACACCATAGATGGTCGCGGTGCAGGCAGGAAAACTTGCTTGAGTTGCAGTTACAAAACAAAACAAAACTCGAACCTGCAGGGCACGAGAGTACGTCGCAGGGGTTTTTCGGCGACAGGAAGATGCAAAACACGAGAGTACGTCGCAATGGGTTTTCGGCAATGGGAAGATAAACCTGCAGGACTTGAACCCGGGTAGAGCTCTGGATACACTCACGAAGTTTGCTAGGCTCCGTGGAACTTGCGCGCAGGGAAGGGTTCGTCGAGGGATCGTTCGGCGACGGGGAGAGGCCAGAGGTTGATCAGACCCCTATAGCCT